TTTTAAAAGATTGTAATCTCCAAAGCACTTGGAATGAACAAGTTGTTGAGGATGACTGTGTACGCGTATTTGAAAAGTACCTAACTAAAACATTGCACCAAAATTATAAGGAGAAATGGAAGTGTGATTTACAATTACATACCCAGTTTTGTGAACCATTTCATGGATTTTGTTGTGAATTTCAGTTGCAATTGAAATCGAGTCTGAGTGAATCTTTCAATGGTGCCTTAAAACTGACCATGATGTCAATATTAACCCCAATGTCGACCCTTGGTTTCCACTGAATGAACAAAGAATAAAGGATAGGTATCGATATGGTGAACTGAATTCAACAATGTTTTTCTCTTAAACCAATTATTGAAAACATTCTGTAAAAAACACGGTATTTACAATTTAATGCGAATATTATTTAGAAATATTCTATATACATGTAACTGTCTTTGTTAACATTTTTTGTTTTTTAGTGCAATTGTTTTTGCTCCTTTCTACCAATTCTCTAGAATGAAATAAAATGCCTTTCCAAACCTTGTTGGAACAAAATAGCATATACAACATGTTTTTAAACCTCTCAATATTATAGTTATACAAAGGAATTTTTGGTAGATTTTAAAAAAGTATTCAAAAAATTAAAACAAAATCGCCCCAAAATAGATAAAAATTAAGATAAACCTTTTATTTCATTAACAAGCTACTTTTTTTAAATCGACCAAAATTTCCTTTGCACTACAATTACAATATTGAGAGACCTAAACATGTCATCCCTTTTAGGCCCATAAAATTTATATATTTCTCAGCAAACAATTTAGTGTTTTTTTTTGAGTTTGTGTTTGTTTTCCTTGTACCCTTGCATGATTTGGATTTTGCCATCCTCTTCTAGCCTATAAACACCTATCATTGATTTAAAATAAACGAATTGGAGGTGAAATTAAAATTGGAACACTTCCATTTATTCCATCTATCGACATCACCGCATCTTTAATATTCAAAATTTTGCACAATTCGAATTACAGACACACAGAGATAAGTCTAGATTATTGATTATTATAAAAATTGATGCACGTTATTAATTATACATGGCCTTTGCATACTTATTATATCATTTACCAGCATGCGATGTTGATAGATGGCAGTGCGTCTGTCTTGAGATGATGTTGAATATATTGGACGTCTTCTTCAAAAATTGATGATTAACTTTCATTGCCTTTATCATAATGATTACATGCAGCTTGACTTTACTTTGGGGCCACCTCATAGCATTTCGTTCAGAGCAATCGTGCTTCATTCCTTCACAGGCTACGCACCCATCCTCCATACGCAGTGTTCAGGCATCATTCACTTTTATTGTTGCCTCGTGAAAAAATCAGATTCACTCCAGGTCTCTAATGTCGCATCATCTTCTAAGCCTTGAGCTGAATCAATTATCGGTTCTTAATATAAATGTTTCTAAATGGTTGATATTTTAGACACATTACAGTGGTAAAGTACGTATTTGGGATCCGGGACATCATGGACGTAAACGCTTATTACAGGTTGAACCAAAAATATGACCTTAAATTACTAAGCTGAATGACTGAGTTATTAACACTTTGGATTACCGTTTTGGTTTTGGCCCACTCTGTATAATGGCCCTAAAGGTTATCATCCTTTCTTATTGGTTAATGCAGCGACCTAATCATTAATATTCCCTCACGATTTCATATCCAATCGAACAGAATCCGATAGAATAGAGTCTCTGGGTCCCATTGGAGCCATTTTATACGTTCGTTGTCACTGGCGTTTTTCAAAACAGAGCTAACCCTACTATCACACCAAACTAGTTCTCACTACGTTCTCGAAAACGGGTTTAAACTGTGCACGAACGGATTTGACGTACTAAGAACCCACTAAGAACCGTTTGGGATCTGTTTACAAACTTCATGAAACTACTAGAACGAGTAGGTCCTCCAGCACTTAGAGCTACTCAAATTTTCTGGTGATCGTCAAAACGTTGCCGAATCGGTTTTAAACTGTGTGCGAACAGAATGAACGTAGCTACAACGTTCTACGGTCTGTTTACAAACTTCATGGACTTTCTCGAACGCGGTATGTGATTTAGAATTTTGAATCGATTCAAAATTCGATGGCGACCATACCGTTCTGTAATCAGGTCATGATGACCTTCTAGACTAAGGGACGGTTTATACTACGTTGCACACCGACGTGGTGCGACCTGAACGAACTGCGAATGAGATGGACGTATTGAAGACTGTTTATGAACGAAGTAGCTAATTATTTTAGACATATATCCCGACCGCAGCCAGATTGAGCCCGTTTTACGACATTTTCGTAGGACTGGCAAGAACGGGTAAGAACTAGTTTGGTGTGATAGGGGGGTAACCTAATCATCCTTATAAGAACATTGCACAAGTGATCAATAATCGCAGCTGATTGGGCAATGGTCATCAAATCATCAAGACATTGTTGATAAATTACACATTAATTTATTTATTCGATGTTCAGCTACATATTAATGAAATTAAACCATTAATTACAAATAAATTGACAACGTAACAAAATATATCGTTTTTATCTAAATAATATCTTACATGATGATAAAAAACATTTAATGCGTTTCTCTGGAGAATACATGGAATTACAAGTTGACGGGGGACTTCTGCTTTGCATATTGCGCTCATACAATTGTTTCTGTATTATGACATGCATCTGATCATCTGAGCCAAATGTGTTATATCATTTATAAACACAAAATATAGTTTACATTAAATACTGTAGCTTACAAATGCACTTGATATATGTATAAAATGAATTCCGACATAATCGCAAAAAATCAAAAGTGTCTAGTTCTACAACATTGCAGTTACCATGGAAACCAACATTTTAAAGAAGCTTTCCAACGGTACCAGAATTAGTCGTTAACCAATTTTAAAAGGTTTAAACCCAATAAAATATTGCCCTTCCCTTCCCTGTGTATCGATGTTTGAGAGGTGGTACAATGGTTTAAAATACTAATCTGAACTAAGCACACCAACGTTTTAAACCTGGTACATCAAAATTCGTTTTTATCACACCATTCATTGACAAGACACGACAGACACAACAATAAATCTTTACAATTACAGGGAGACCTGCATATCCGAACACCTCTCAAATCCGAACACCTCTCAAATCCGAACACCTCTCTAATCCGAACACCTCTCAATATGAACGCTTTTTCTCGGTCACACATATGTTATCTGCCATTGACTCACAAATTCAAAAAAACAGCATCTGCTAATCGCAGCTGTATTCGGATCAGACAGGATTTGTTGCACCTTAATTTCTAATTTATTCGAGAGATCTTTTGAAAGTTCATGAGAACATAATCTACAAGTCCATTGAATATGACATACGAAAGCATTACACTTTCGATTGATAAATCATGATAAACCATGTTTCTGTTTCTTTTCTCCCTAGCCGTTAGATTGCTAGTCGAGAAACAAATTTGATATATAATGATGAGTATCAGAATTCATAATGCTGATTTTGCAGTAAAACATCACCTTAAGGTAGTGACATCTATACAAAATAAAAATACTGAACAGGCCGGGTGCTGAAAACTGGATCAATCCATTCTAGACTTTTTGTTATCATCAATATGTCATAAAACCTCAGATCATAAACAGAACGTATACATCATATTTACAATTATCAAGGGATTTTAATCACGATGCTCCTAAATACATTTCATTGTTTTGTACTACCTTGAGTTTCTTTTTTGATTACTTTTATATTAGAAAATACAGGGTGACTCAAAAAATGCCACCTACTTATAACTTTCTCAATAATGGAGGAATCTTTATAATCTTTATGTGTAGATAGAGTATTTAATGGAAGAAAGATTGGTATTCTTGCATAGCATCAACAACTTGGAAATTAAGGGAAATCTCATTTTCCGCGGAGGCATGCTCTGACACAAAATCACTCAAATATGTAAATTAGACGCGATATATCTTAACCTCAAAGTTGTTGATGCTACATTATATACTAAAACAGTCTTTCTTCCATTGAACACTATATCTACACAAAAATCACGGAGATTCCTTCATTATTAAGAAAGATATTCCAAAATTAGAGGGTGGCATTTTTGTGTCACCCTGTACAATACTAGATATAGTATATGTAATTTCGTGTTCAATTGTTCGTTTTTAATGTGGGGAACTGTATTGTATGTCTTATACGTTACCTCAACTAATCAACGGCAAGTAATGCGGCTTTTGTGGTTTGATTTTTTATGGCGTGTTTGTCAAATTATGTCTGATAATAGGTAATATAGTTCATTTAAAGCAGGGATACATGTTTCCATTAACGTTACACACATTTATAATATACAAGTAATACTCATTTTTAATATCAGATTCTGCCTATATGTAGTCGTTGATGGCGGTGTAGTGACTAGCGACACTGGCTTATCTAGCATTAATACATTCTCACTTATCATTATTTTGATTTGGTCCCAAGTGTCAACTTTATAGTAAGCGATGGGTACTCGGTAAAACGGGTACTTAAACTTCATGAATTATTCCGATATGCTACCTGATTTATATTCTTCTCTCGTCGTTCCATCAACATTCGGTTGTAATTTAACTACAATTGCTCTGGTGCAAATTTAACATCCAAATCATAATACAGTGAATTAGTTTCAATCAGATATAACGGCCAGCATTGAATTTGCACTTGTCCCCACCCGGTTATAACGACTTTGTAACAAAATGGATAAACTTCCCTCGGAGGAAATTTTTATTTTCATCATTCTAACCATAAAGGAGGTTGATTTGTATCCAAATATTTTACCCGTATGTTCATGGTAACATCTGGTTTCTGAAAAGACAACCAGTACGAGTATATCGTGCACTCAAGGGTTTCAATAATCGAGTGAGAAATCTCTTACTTTAGTAACAAGGACGTCGCGGATGTTAACACAATACAACCAAGACGTTATGAAATTCACAATTCACACGTCCTTGTTGCTGAAGTGAGGGAATTTTCACCCGATTATCGAAGCTGATGGATATATTTGCTCGTGACTGACTAGATCTTCAGTAACCGGGTGTTACTATTTACATACGGGTAAAATATTTGGATTGTAATCAACCTCTGTGTTTGTTAGAATGCTGAAAAAATCTAACAATTTTTCTCTTACGGAAGTTCATCCATTTTGTTATAAATACATAGGTACGTAACGTCTTTAAATTCAAGTTGAGACCAGTGATTTGGGAATACAGAATACGTCAAAACGCCATACACTTTTGTGGCGTCTTGGAATAGGTAATTACAAGCTATCCTCTTTGACCCAATGGTGAACCCGAAAGGGTATAAAGATAATGGGTTACTTCACATTTACGTCATACCATCCTACTAACATCAAATTCTTCATACCATCGTGTACCTATGTAGCAGATGATGGCGCAAGAATACATTCCAAAATGTTTCTCAACGTAACAACGGCTGATCAATGTCTTTCATCGATTGACTAGCAAAAGCTCTAATCGCAAGATTATTTAATGACTGTGTTTCATCGAAACTTATAATGTCGTTTCGGTTTCAACCTGGCATACTAAACGCAGTATAATCATATCCGCGGTAGATATGATTGATATCTTCCCTATAAAATCCAGAATCTGTTTGTGGTAACTCCTGGAATTTTATCAAATATCTCCAGGTCTCTAAGCTGGGTCGTTGAAGTATCCAATACTACTCTGTCGTCTTACGTAATATGGCACTTTTTGTTTGGGAGAAGAACACTTTTTGGAGTTCACTGAAATGAAAAAAAATCTCAAAAGTGGTGTAAAATTTGGCCCACAGGCTCTTAATAACACTCCCCACAAATAGCTTGACAACTACAACTCCTATTAGACCATGTGTTAAAGTCATGCTTTGCGAGTTTTAAACAACATCAAAAGATATCTTACGTAAATGAGAAAATGTTTTTTAATCGGACATAAACATACCTAACATGCTATCTAGTCGGGAGTTAACATTTCGAGGAAATAAACGTAAAGTTGCTCAGTCAAGGTGAAGAAACGGGGGAAATACGGGAATTAAAGGAACATGGTGAGTTATTAGAAACCAGATGTCCAAGGGACGGGCAATCATTCAAAGGGCTGTCTAATAATGACAAACAGTTTTTCTTTTTTCTACGTTATTGCATCGCGTCTATTTTCTATTGGTTAAATTTGAATTGATTGGATTTTTTTCCAAGACACGGATGTTGGAATAGCATATTAAGAGAATGAATACTCGCTCAATTTATTAATGTAAGTACAAAGGCTTTGAATAAGTTCCGTAACGAGATTGATATGATATTTGACTTCAGAGTCTGGCATTTCAATAAACTTCTTGAGAAGTTCTACATCATGTTTAATCTCGACAAAACATTCTCGGCTTGTCGTGCTGCAGTAACCTTTATGACAAAAGGTCTTTAATGACTAAGTAAACCAAGGGAAATTGATGCTCAGAACAATATATCGTCGTTAATTCTGGATGGCGACCTTTGTTTTTCTAAAATCCAGGGAGCATTACAATTTGACATGCTTGATTGGATCAATAGACGAATAGGTAACATAGGTGATCAAATTAGCTCTGTTATGATGATGAAAGGACAGATGGACCCCTGACACACGAAGTGAGAATGTACAATTTAGACTATTCTGATCTATTAGGGCCCTTTGCTCTTTGAAAAGCTGTGTATATATGAGATTAGAAGCAATGAGCATTTTCTTTTTGTCTTTTTGTATTTTTCAAATACGATATACCGCGAGGTAGGTATGGTAGGGCTCCTTTTAAACATCATATGCATTGTGGTTGTAGGGATCGCATTCTTATTAGGCATTATTCATTTGATCAAACATAACTAGCTGACACTAGTATGATCTAATTCTCACCTGACATACGTATCGAGTTCATACATTTTCACTTGACATTTTTTGTAAAGATCATAGATTCTCACTTGACATCTGTACAAATGCCTTTAATTCTCACCTGACATCTGTATAAAGGTCATACATTCTCACTTGACATCAGTACAAATGCCTTTGATTCTCACCTGACATCTGTATAAAGGTCATACATTCTCACTTGACATCAGTACAAATGCCTTTAATTCTCACCTGACATTTGTATAAAGTTCATTCCCCACAGAATGCTCCAGACCCAGCCTACGATCACGAGGAAGGTTGCCATCTGTAACACGGCAGTCAGGATGTTCCACGCAACAGCCGTGGCTCTTTTGTTCATCCGGGTACTCGTCCCTTTACAGAACAGACTAAATGCTGACACCAGTGTTCCTGAAAGCATATTTGATGAAATTAAGACAAAACACTTCGTAATCTACCCTTTGCATTCGTTTGACTTCACTTCTTAAAAGAGAGCTTCGTCTTAGTAGTTTATAACTAGACTCTGCACGCAGGGTATTCGTAATCTAAAGTTAGCAATAGATTTGGATACAGAGCTTATTTTCTATTGATATCAAACAGAGTAGGTATTTTTGATGAAATAATAAAATAATCTCTCGAAAATCATATATCATCATTATATTTATAAAACTCTGTTAAAGTGCTTGCACATTTACATATTTTTAGGTATTCAGCTATACTTTAAGATACTGAAGGTAAAGTTCAAACTCATTGTGGTTAGTTATTGAATTACCTCTCTTGGGGAAATATTGAGTTTGCAATTATTATCGAAGGAGGATTTTTGTAAACACAACTCTCCAATTTTAGAAACAGAATGCACAAGAATCCCAATGGAGACCCTCAGGATACAGGTTAAATGTGAAACCTTGTCTTAATGTATAATTGAGCCAGGCCACAGGGAAAGGGGTCTTATTACAGATTTTTTCAATATTCTGATTATTTGTTTATCTTAAAAAGCACAAAGAAACCTTTCAAATGAGCCATGGCTTGTGTCCTAACAATCTTTCCTTGCATAATATAGACCAAAAAGTCTGATCTGAATTGAGCACATTTTCCTCTTAATCGTGGGCACATTTTTGCCTCTGTAGCACAATTTTAATTTTTGTGATACGACCGGTTTTTCCATGGCCAGGCTCAATTAATAGTTAATAAAGATTTTGTGACTGGGGATTTAGTTGATATTCTGTTCGTTTTTGCGAGTCGACAATTTGTACAGGGTGAGCCAAAAATGGTAGCCCAAACAACTGTCTGTCACACAGCATGGGTTTAACGTTATACTCGTATTTGGCACAATTAAACGTACATTCGTTCAATGTTCCTTCATTCCACTAAGGTCCATTTGTCTATTTCCAACGGTCACGATTTTATGGGCATTTAAAAAACATGCTCCAAATGTTGAAGAAATGCTGGAAAAGTGAAAATTTTTGAAAAATTAAAGTTTTGAAAAATGAATTTTTTGAAAAAGAAGTAAAATGGTTGAATTTACCCGGGATGATATCGATATCATCCCTGATATCATCCCTCTAATCCTGATATCAACCCGATCCCAAATATGTGATTTATCACTTGCTATAATTATATACCTGATTTGACAATGGTATGAAGAAAATTACATAAGTCCCTTTACTGCGCGCACATTACGTTTCACGTCCAGGTTTTGCAATTTTTGTAGCAAAATGCAATATTTAGAGATAAATATTTTAACTATTGCTAGTCGCTTATAGAGAACCCAAGAAAATGGATCAACGGTAATGTAGACCTATAAAACAACCATCCATGAATATTTGAGTTCGGTGAAACACTCCATAACTCCTGTCGAGGAGAAAGTCTATATCGTTATTGAGTTTAGATTATTTCTGTAAGATAAAACACCCGGGGCTTGAAACTTCATGCTGGAAATCAGAGCTAGTACAAATCTGTACATACGCAGAATTCAATATGATTTGGTTTAGAGGTTTACATTAAGAATATAGGATGTTACTATCACCGTGACACAGCCAATCTACTTTGAGTCTTCAACATTACGATAACCCTAACGGTGACAATACTCAATATTGTTCAAAATGCTAGCTTTGCACTCGTTTGACTTCGCTTCTTAAAAGCGCCTCATGTTCAGGGTATGCGAATCTGAATCTTTACCATAATTGGGAATTTCATTCACCACCCACATACTGTCCAACAAACAGCCTCTATACTTCAAGCCAGGGTCAGGCCCGTAGCCAATAATTCTTATTGCTTATTGCTTGATTTTGCGCAAAAAATGTCAAAAGTAACCCCCCCCCTGTATTTTTCAGAAACCCCTAGGCAAAAGCTGGATACGGGCCTGAAAACTATGCCCAGTTCCTTGTAATTCTACACGAGTGTCAGCGACTAAGAGATCAGAAGGTCTCTGTGAAAGAAGCAAAATCCCAACAATTATAAAGCGTACACCCTGATCTTCATCTCTTACATTATGAGACATTTTCCTGGATTTCAGTTCATCTCGATTGAGTTGCAACTGTTATTACGTATAGTGGATATCGTGTAATCTTTGCATTTAATGTCCTGGCAATTTATAATGAGCATTGCATTATATTGTCATTTGCTATTGATAATAGGGAGTTTGAACTTGCAACCTAAACGTGAACGGAAAATATTTAAGACGTGTCGCAAAAAGGTGGCGCATTTGTTTTTTAAGGGTATCGCGTGAATGTAACTTTGATTCCCCGGATTATAAGATAATATTCTAATTAAAGTTATATATCATTTTAAAGCTGTTTCGATGAAGTTTTTAGATCAACTACACTCCGTTCACGATTCTCGCGCGTTCTTTTTTAAAAAGAGTTTTTTACCAAAACATCTGGCAAATATCCCCTGTTGACACGTTACATTTTGAATTATTTTTCGTCTTTAAACGCTCATAACTCAAACAATATATGACTATTATACTTATTTTTCGTCTTGATAAAGGTAGATGGACGTTTTATTTCAAAGGATGAATTATAGTAAGCGTCCCATATTGTGACGTCATAGAGTTTGAAAAATAGAATCTGTTGACAGCGACCTTTTTTGCTCATTTTTTGTTGCCTTCAGCTTCCTTCTCAGGTGTACATTAAACAAAAAATACGAGATCAATTTTTAATAAATCATACATGATTATTTTGCTCTTAAACTCTAGTTTATTAAATAGTTGATTTTGTTCGCAAAAGTATGTGCTTTCTGTTGTATGTGGAAAAGTGGAGGACGAAAGGTTTTCAAAATTCATTAAAATAGGGCTAATTTACGCCATTCGCCTATTTTCAAGCACAGCAACACGTATATATATTTCACCTAAAATATCAATTGATTCGTGTTTTATGATGCTCCTATCCCATTGTTAATACATGTACGATATCAGAGTTATTCGACTTAAACATTTTGAGATATAGAGGCAAATGTGGAGGACGAAAGGATTTCCATATGTGTACATTTTTCTCAAAAAACGTCACATTCTGTGGTGTTAAAAAGCGAAAATGTGTAACAATGCGTGCGCGACCTTTTTGCGATACGTCTAAGTGATGCATTTATACGGGCAATTAGTCATACGTATAGGTTGGCGTTTCGATTTTATATGCGAGCTTAAACTCCCTAACAATACAGGCATAGGTGATATAACGTGAGATGAAAGATCTCAAAATACCTGAATTCTGCACTCGCTTGGATCACAAAATCCTAGCCAAATCTAGTCCATGATTCCAAGACTGTCAATGACTGAAAAGCCGCGAATGATATGTCATGGTTTATCATGATTGAAAGGGTAGGTAATTCAGATGTTTCTTTCAGTGGCTTATTACACCGAGTAATGAACAGTGGTGCGATGATCCATCGCTACTTATATTTCTATATCTCGTGTCCCATGACTGTTATTCTAATTCAAGCTATTCCAGACCAATAACTATATGACAGCTTCGGTAACATCGGAATAAATTACTTTGTTTGCACAAACCAGTCTCTAGAAAGACGATCTCTCTAAAGATGGCTTTGTGTGAATAAAATACCATTGGCAGGCGCTGGCAATCATGGGTCTCGAACAGAGCATTTGGGTCATATTCGAAAAAAACATTATTGCCGGTGTAAAAGGGTAGTAGGTCCTTTCAAATTATGGTCCTACTCTCCATTGATTTATATGGTGACCTAAATACAACACTTTCTCTCATTATCTTATACGCAATCAGGGCCAGTAAGGGCCGATAAGAAAGGGGACCATAATCCCTGGGGGACCATTATTTCTTTCACACCGGTTTTCCATCCATCGAAGGAAAATAACATTCATTAATTACACCCAGTAACAAATTACATTTCATGTGGCATTTTGAGTGGAACGTCTTAATTCCTTCTCGGTTAGCTATCAAATCACAGAAGAAAACTAATTTCCATTTTGAAGGCTCGCTTATCCGAGGACAACGATTTATCATAAAGGGGGGGAGATTGTTGTCATGATGGGATTTATATTCCTCGTCGCGACTGACAAGTTTTGAGACGTCCAGACAATAATCAGGTTTTGTATGCCTTCATTATTATGGTAATTATGTCGATAAATGTTTTAAGAAAATACTGATTATAAAAACTAAGTTAACAGGTTTTATAGGGCAAATTCTCGTTATGACATTTTCAATGAATTCAACACGCCAGAATATTGAGATATCCTTCCAAAGAACACATAACACAAACATATCCAATCTAAGGAACGTAGAAAGAGAATTATATTTGGTTAAATTCCACATTGGGACAATATTTTCTTTAGGCTAACTGCGGCTGAAGGTATCGTTATCACGAAAGACACAAATCGAACAAGAGCCCTATAATGAATCAATCTTGCCATGGACATGTGAAGACGAGTCTCCCACGACCTAAATGAAATTGAAACACATGTATTTGGTTCAGTGTTAATGTAGTCGATTGGCCACAGGGCGACCCATATAAGTTACCATGCTTTTTTAATTGACTATCGATGGTGCATGCAAATTACATTAATCTGTTTGATATATAGGTCTCGTCGTCTCCCGATTAGAGTCCAAAATTGGGTTCGAAGTCTGTTGAATCAATCCGTATTGACAGTGATGGACATTATCATCAGTATAACGTCGTCCCCATTTAACCCACAGGATGCCAATTCCCTGAATCTCAAACCTTTGGATCGTCAGTATCCAAGAAATGTTTAAATTGGTCACTTTTTAACACTCCTGTAGAGACCAGAGTACATGTGCAGTAGCCCCAAAATTCCATCCTATGAACGCAGAGTTCCAGACATCATCCATTGCATTCCTTAAGGATGTTCCCTGGACGAAGTTGAAAACGATGAACACCAACCCCTAATTTTTCTTTTCAAAATGTGAAGTACATAGCATAACTAA